GGATAAAAAAATAAAAATAACAGGAAAGCCATTCTTTTTTTCTTTTTCTTTTTTTCAATCCTCACCCAAGGTTCAGATAGAGCTGGAGGGAGAGAGAGAAACATTGATGTAAGAGAGACACACCGGGTGATTGCCACCTACATAACCCCAACTGGGGCCGGGGACAAACTGCAACCAAAGTACATGCCCTTAGCGGGAACCCAACCTGGGCCTCTGGACCGAGGGCCGATGCTCTAACTGCTGAGCCAAACTGGCCAGGGCAAGCTATTATTTTTTGTTTTGTTTGTTTTAAATATGTTTTTATTGATTTTTAGAGAGAGAGAAAAATACAATGTGAGAAACATTGGTCGGCTGCCTCCTGATGCCTCCCCACTAGGGATGGAGCCCACAACCCAGGCATGTGCCTGACTGGGAATCAAACTGGGATCTCTCAGCCCATGGGATGACGCTCAATTCACTGAGCTACACCGGCCGGGAGAAAGCCATTTTTTAGTACAAAAAATACAGTCAAGCTAATATTTATTTCTAAAATATATATTACTTTCATAAAAATTTTTTCTTTATTGATTTTAGAGAGAGAGAGAGAAACATTGATGAGGGAGAACATCGATTGGTCGCCTCCTGCATGCCCCACACTGGGAATTTGGCCCACAACCTGGGCATGTGTCCTGACTGGGTATCGAACTGGTGACCTCTTAGTGCATGGGTTGACGCTTAACCACTGAGCCACACCGGCCAGGCATATATTACTTTTATAAACAAACAAAAGTCCCCTTTAAAAATAAGCTGGTAAAATGCATGCCTCCACATTGGATCAAACTATCTTATGTCTTATAATAAACTACTGAGTTCCCCCTTTACTTCTATTATGGTGCTTCTCTCAGTATCTTTCAGTGATTTTTCCCTTATTTTCTCCATCCTCTTGCCATTAACTGGACCTAATTCAGAACTGAAGTTTAAAAATACTTTCTTCAGTAAATAAAATAAGAATTGTATTGCATTTTGTGCATTCTAAAATGAGTGGGAATCCAGAGCATGAAGACCAGAATACCCTTACCTAGTTCTAGTGTGGAGATACAGGAGAGGAAGCTGGGTTTAGAAATAGGTAGTTTTCACCTAGCAGTGTGCCTCAGTGGTTGAACATTGACCCATGGACCAAGAGGTTGCTGGTTCAATTTCCGGTCAAGGCACATGCCTGGGACGTAGGCTCAATCCTTATTGGGGGTGTATAGGAGGCAGCTGATCTATGTGTCTCTCTCATCGATGTTTCTATCTTTCTTCCTCTCCCTTCCTCTCTCTAAAAATCAATAAAACCATTTTAAAAAATAGGTAGTTTCATACATTACTTCAATGAAATAAACAATATTTAACACTTGGAGATATTCAGACAGTGTTTACTATTATCAACAGAACTATTTTTATTATTATCTGTTCTGTGTTATTAACAAAATAATCCCAAGTTTAATAAAACAAGTGAGCAAAATTTGTCCTTGAGGAAAAAAAAAGAAGCCAATCTTTTTGTGAGGCTGAAGGATTTGAATGAGACAGAATAATGAGTTTGCTAACAATTGAAAATTTTTAAATACTGAGATTTATTACTGAGTTAGGTTTTAGAATATTTGATAGACTATTTTTTAATATATATATTTTTATTGTTAACAGTATTACAGATGTCCCCCATTCCCCTCATTTATCCCCCTCCACCCAGCCCCTACCCCACCCCAGGCCTTCACCACACTGTTGTCTGTGTCTGTGGGCTATGCATATATATGTATAAGTTCTTTGGTTAATCTCTTCCCATATCCCCTTCTGACATTTGTTGGTCTGTTCTATGACTCCATGCCTCTGGACCTATTTTGTTGGTCAGTTTATTTTGTTCATTAGATTCCAAAAATAAGTGAGATCATGTGATATTTGTCTTTTTTTAAATCCTCCCCCAAGGATATTTTTCTATTTATCTTTAGATAGAGTGGGAAGGAGAAAGAGGGAGAGAAAGGAAGATAGAGAGAGAGAACATCTGTGTGAGCGGGGCACGTCAACCAGCTGCCTCCCACATGACCCAACCGGGGCCGGGGACAAACCTCAAGGAAAGTACGTGCCCTTGACTGGAATCAAACCCGAGACTCATTGGTCCGCGGGCCAACGCTCTACTGCTGAGCCAAACCAGCCAGGGCAATATTTGTCTTTCTCTGACTGGCTTATTTCACTTAGCATAATAATCTTCAGGTCCATCTATGCTGTCTCAAAGGGTAAAAGATCCTTCCTTTTTATAGCTGCATTGTATTCCATTGTGTAAATGTACCACAGCTTTTTTTATTCACTCATCTACTGATGGGCACTTAAGCTGTTACCAAATCTTAACTATTATAAAGAGCACTGCTATGAACATAGGGGTGCATATATTCTTTCTAATAGATGTTTTAGGATTCTTAGGATACATTCCTAGAAGTGGGATTGCTGGGTCACACAGGAGTTCCATTTTAAAAATTTTTTAAGGAAATTCCATGCTGTTTTCCATAGTGGCTATACCAGTCTGCCTTCCCGCTAGCAGTGTACTAGGGTTCCCTTTTCTCCACCTCTTTGCCAGCATTTGTCATTTGTTGATTTATTGATGGTAGCCTTTCTGTCAGGTGTGAGGTGATACCTCATTGTAGTGTTAATTTGCATCTCTCTGATGATTAAAATTTTTTTTTTTCTTTATTGATTTTAGAGAGAGAGTAAGGGAGAGGGAGAGATAGAAACATTGATGAGAGAGAACACTGGCCGTTTTCTGTATGCCCTGCACTGGGGATTTGGCCCACAACCTGGGCATGTGCCCTGACTGGGAATCAAACTGGAAACCTCTTGATGCATGGGTCAATGCTCAACCACTGAGCCATAGTGGCTGGGTTCTGATGTTTCTTTTTTTTAGTGATTTTTTTTTTTTAATCTTTGCCCAAGGATATACTTTTATTGACTTGAGAGAGAGAGAGAGAAACATCGATTAATTGCCTTCCATGGGCGCCTCAACTGAGGATCAAACCTGCAACTTAGGTGTGTGCCCTGACCAGGAATTGAACCTGAAACCTTTATGGGCTACCCAGCCGGGGCTGGTGGAAATAATATGAAATAGGCTAAACATTTGTACTGTAGCACCAGGCAAAACCACTTCTCTTCTCCTCTAACAATTCTTGCTGGTGGTTGTTTTTTGGGTTGGTGTTTTCATTTCTTGGAATAATCAGATCTGAGATTTGGGTCTAAGTTTTTGAAGGGATAAGTTGGCAAAGTAGGCCTGTTTAGGCTTGGGCAAAAGCCCTCTAGCACTCCATTATGATTCCCTGGAGTTCCACAATGGGGTTTGTTGCATTGTGGGGTTTGTTCCACAAGGGTCTTTGCATTATGACCCTTGGTAGGCTCAAAGAAAGAATTGGTCTAGGGCAAGATTTGAGTTTTCTTGACCGTGGCTTTATACTTAATCTCACTGCAAACTGATCTCAAGGGTAGGACAGGAGTTTTGGATATTGTCTCTTAGCTATATATTACATCTATCTATAATATCTATTGTTCCCCAACATCCCACTACCATCACCATCATTTTAGGTAACTACCAGAATTCTGAGTGAATATTTTTCTGCTCCTGCACTGTTCACATTTTCAAAAATGAACATGTTTTACTTTTATTGAAGTCAATTAAAAAAAAATAGACTACAATGAATTCTTACCTATCTAGAACTAGTTTTATTTGCTTTCAGTAGAAAGGAAAAAGCCTAGGGACTGTATAAAATCTTAAGTACAATTCTGTAGTAAGGTGGCAAAAGCAACTTGCAAATTAGATAGGGACAAAGGTTTATGACAAGATACCAAGATCTAGGGAAGGAGCTTAGACAAAAGGTTTATAGTCTTGAGTAGGGAGGAAGCAGATGAGACATAAATACTGCTGTGTACTCAAAAGTAGAGCTTGACAAAGCGAAAACCCTTTCTAAATATTAACTTCTGATTTGATTCAGTGATCCCATGATATGCACTGCACATCAGTATATCAAACGGTGGCAAAAGATAAAATTATTGCCCAGCATGTGTAGCTCAGTGGATTGAGTGTCGTCCCATGGACTGAGAGGTCCCAAATTCGATTCCTAGTCAGGGCACATGCCCAGGTTGTGCCAAATTCCCAATAAGGGGATATGCAGGAGGTGGCCAGTCAATGTTCTCTCTCATCGATATTTCTTTCTCTCTCTCCCTCCCTCCCTTCCTCCCTCCCTCCCTCCCTCCCTTCCTCTTTCTCTAAAACCAAGAAAGAAAAAAAAAAGTTAAAATTGTTTGTTCATGCCCAGAAATAAAATTTAGGGATAGGTAATCCCTTTTGGTGCCTTTTCGACCTTTAATGTAGCAGCATAAACAGCCTTCAAGTGACTGTGAGATTCTTCAGGAAAGTAAATTGGTGACCAGTGCTCTGGAATGTGGAAGCTGAGTCCAAATTAACAAGTCTAAACTAATCTGATAAATTAGATCAGAACCAATTCTAAGCTTGAAAAAGTTTGTTGGGTATCCCTCTTCTTGCTCAAGATGAAAGATTATATTTTTAAAGGGCCCTTCTATTATGTCAGAATATTCTTTAAGATGTTAGGAAGCATTCTGGAAATGAAAATGTTTGGTTTTACCAGTGCTGAACCCTCTAGTTCTGGGGAAGTCACTAGTTAGACCAGATGATTAGAAAAATATGATCAGTAATAAAGTGTGAATTGAGTCCGGCTGGTGTTGCTCGGTGGTTGAGTATCGACCCATGCACCAAGAAGTCGTCGGTTCGATTCCTGGTCAGGACACATGCCCAGATTGTGGGCCTGATCCTCAGTGGGGGGCATGCAGGAGGTGGCCAGTTGATGTTTATGTCTCTCCTGCTCACTTCCTCTCTAAAATCAATAAAGGGAAAAAAAAGTGTGAATTTATTAATTTCCCTTTGTTGCCAGAAATATGGACAAAGGAGTTATGGGGCTGTTTGTGAAAGGTCTCTTTTTCCTTCGTAGGTGTGGCGTTTCCAGAAGAAACAAACAGATCTCCTCCTCGCCTTTTATAAGCATAGAATTACAAAATTAGAAGCAGCCATGCAAGAGGCACAGCAAACAGTTACCAGCCAGAACAAGTAAGTGACAAAACAAATTACCAGAGAGCTTTTTCTTTCAGAGAAGCTATAGCCTTTAATTTCTTATGGTTGCAAAGCCTGAAAATTGCTCCGTGTGTTTATGTTTATCTTGGGCAAATCGAGTACAGAATTTTTGATCCCTTCAGTCTCCATTATTTTTTTCTTTCTTTCTTTCCTCAAGGGGTCCTCCTCACTTTATACCTTTTCTCTCCTAGTCCTCTCTCCCCCATCAAAAACTGCTTCTTCAGAAAAATAAGACAGCTTTTTCACAAACCTAAGAGACAACATTTAAAATGTTGCCTCTAGGAGGATATATTTTAGAAATCTTAAGCTAAAAGGTGAAATCCTTGATGGAAATTTTCATATATGTGGCCAAGCATATATGTGGAGAGAAAATGGAATTCTATGTAAACTCCTCTGAAATCATACCCAAGTAACTGTTTGTTCTGTCCATATGATTCTTCTTATCATCAAAACCCTGCCATTGTCTTCCTGAATTGCTAGATCTCTGAGAGAAATACCGTGTACAGTGGCAGGCACCTCTCCATAGCATTAACTAGATAGTAATCAAAATCAGGTTTTTTATTCCACCAACCTACTAGAGCTGATTGTGTTCATCTTTTGCCTAGAGAGCTGTCAGTCTTAAGGAAAGAGAATGGAGAACTAAAGAAATTTCTAACCATCCTGAAGGTGAATGATATCGATTTTCCTTACTATGATTTTCTCTCCTACTTTTCCCATCTATCTAGCAGACTGAATAGAATAGTGTTTCCTAACCTTTTTCACATATAACTGATAATACGTGTACAAGCACTGTAGTAGATGGATGAGGCCACAGAAGACCTTGGAGGGCTGAAAGGGTCAATATTTAACACACTGGAAGCCCATTATTGAACATCAGTGAGTCACAACATACCATTTGGAAAGCTCTCTTATAGAAGAGGCATCGGTTATAACTTTAAATTTCTCTTCAAGAATCCCAAGATCCCTCAGGACCCTTCCTGTCCCTCAAACTGTATTTTCTAGCCATTTGGCTCTTCCTAAGGATATTCTTTGTATGTATAATGTTCCTCTTGATCCTACTCCTGTAACTATTCTAGCACGTTGTAATCCTGTCATTTTTCTTTCTCTCCCCTATTTCTCCATGTGTATCAGTCTGTAGGATCAGTCTTCATTTTTATGAAGAGGAACTGAAATTTTATGCCCCCAAAGCTAAAAATTTCCAAAGGAAGCATTGCTGCTATTTTTTTCTCCTATTGGAAGTCTTATCAACCACAACTGGCAGACATTGCAGCTTAGGTACCTAACAAGTACGATCCACTGATTAGGATGCTTGAGCTGCAACTTCCTTAACTCCCATTTTTTTCACTTACAGGAATCTCCAAGTTGGTACCAAGGAAGCAGGTCAGTTTTATCAGTCCCCATTCTAGCCATCTTTGAAATTTTCTGTGCTTTCTTGACTCTTGGCTATAACTCCTGTGTGAGCTCTAAGGTGAAGGAAAGAGTTACTCACTGAAAAGTGCATAAGTAAAATTTTGAAAGTAATACTCACCCTTGACCGTAACCTTATGAAATCCTACTTATGCTCTCATGTCAGGATTTCATTAAACAAAGTAGGTGTTCTACTCATTTATTTAATAAATATTCATTAAGTGCCCAGCCAGTGTGGCTCAGTGGATTGAGCATCGTCCCATGGACTCAGAGTTCCCAGTTCAATTCCCAGTCAGGGCACATGCCCGGGTGTGGACTTGATCCCTGGTAGGGAGTGTGCAGGAGGCAGCTGATCGACATTTCTCTCTCACATTGATGTTTCTATCTCTCTCTAAAAAATTATTTTAAAAATTCAATAAATGACCACTGTTTACCAAGTGCTGGGTGTACATCACCAGTTATTCTAATTGATAATGTCTGTATATTACCAATTGTTAAATATTTTTGATATTAGCCCTATATTGGTGGGTTAAGAAAAACATGGCTCCGGTACTCACAGAAGTTACAGTCTAGTGTTCTTTCATAGTTCTGTACTTCTGATATGCCCATTATAGCACTTAAACATTGCTTTATTTTTTTTTTCTTTCCCAGTAGCCTTTGAGCCTCTCAGAGGTAGAAACCATATTCTAGTATCTTTGTAATCTCAGTATCTAGGATTTATACGCACTAATAAATGCCTATTGGATAGATGGATGAGGAGATGGAGCCAGTGAGGGAATGGTGGATAAATGAATGGACAGGTGGGAAGATATATGCAAAGTTCAGAGTATTTTGTAAGGAACTCAGGAAAGAAAGAAGGAAAGGGTGACTTCATACCTTATCCTATTATGGGCAATAAAGGGAGTTGAGCAGCCAAGGGGCCTAATGGAAAATTCACCTCCAGATTTTGGATGATATCTGCTAATACATGACAATAAGCAATTTGTTTTCAGAGGTGAAGCTATTTTTAAAAACAACGATCCAGTTTATCCTCTAATGTGAAACTTCTACTTAGAGATATTAGAGCTGCCTCTTGTTTTTCCCTTGCAGGCCAACCACACCTCGACCAGTGGGCATTACTTCCCCATCACAGTCAGGTAGAGAACTTTTTTTCTTTGCCCAAATATCTGTGTGAGATCAGTAAATATCCTTTTCCCACATGGAAGATGGTTTCCTCTCAGAATATTAAGTGATTTCTCTAACCTTGTGTATGATATGAGAAGATCATACGACCAGATACCCACTTGCAACAGATTGGCCAGGCAAGAGCACACTATTTTTTTTTTTTTTTAATCCTCACCAGAGGACATTTTTCCATTTTTTGTTCAGGTAGATTGGGAGGGAGAGAGAGGCACAGAGAGAGAGGGAGAAACATCGATGTGAAAGGAACACATTGAGTGGCTGCCACCCGTACGACCGACCAGGGCCGGGGACAAACTGCAACCGAGGTACGCGCCCTTAGCGGGAACCGAACCCAGGTCTCTCAGGACCGCAGGCCGACGCTCTAACCGCTGAGCCAAACCGGCCAGGGCAAGAGCACACTATTGATGGCAACTTTTCATTCTGCATTTTACTCTTTTTCAGTTACTCCAAGACCCAGTTCTCAGCATAGCAGTCAAGTGGTCAGGTGAGTAGAAAGCTTACCTAACAACATTAAACTGTTGGCAAAAGTTGGAAGATGAAAGAAATACTTAGATGTGGCTGAGACAGGGACTAAACAGACTAGGTCTGTGTAAAAGTTTAACACCAGGTTTGTCTGTTTGTTTTCTTTCTGTCTCGCCTTATACAGTCGGTCCTCCTCAGCAGAGCCTGTCCCTTATAGAGTGGCTGGCTTTAGTAGCGTGGGACAAGTAAGTAATAGTTACCCCTTTCCACATTGAGATTTCTAATGCTAAATCAAATCTAATGCTAAATTAAGGCAAGAATATTAAACTTACATTGGTTTTGGCATAAATTATCTGATGCCATCCTGGACTTTCTTTTCTTTTGCTAGTACAGACCTGATGTTAGAAGCTGATGCAGAGAATGAATAGGGGTGAAATAGTGGAAATGTTGAAGGGCTAAATTAACAGCCTGTCATTCATTTTGGAAGTAGTAAAGTGTGGACTAGCATACCCACTCTGGGAGGACAAAAATATGCTTCAAGCCCTGGCCAGTTTGGCTCAGCGGTTAGAGCGTTGGCCTGCGGTCCGGAGAGACCCAGGTTCGGTTCCCGCTAAGGGCATGTACTTCGGTTGCAGTTTGTCCCCGGCCCTGGTTGGTCGTGCGGGTGGCAGCCACTCGATGTGTCCCTTCACGTCGATGTTTCTCTCTCTCTCTCTCCCTCTCTCCCTTCCTCTCTCTCCCTCCCACTCTATCTGTACAAAAAAAAAAAAAAATATGCTTCAATGTGTAGATACAGAGAAATAGCAAGGAATATGGAAACCAGAAAATCAGGGTATATTTATTAATTGATGTTTATTATTTGTCCATCAGGGAGCCAGAGGCCTTCAAGGAAGAAGCACTCCCAGCGACTCTTATACTGGTGAGAGGGGAGAGAAAAAGAAAGATATCAGAAAACAAAATATTCTGTGCATACACCAGCAGATTTCTGGTTTTCTATGCATATCATAATGCCATTTACTTTGTTTGTTCTAATGATTCCAGATATCCAGACATATATTACTACTTTTTTAAAAAAAAATAATTTTTCTTTATTGATTTTAGAGAGAGGAAGGGAGAGGAAGGGAGACAGACATTAGTGAGACAGAACGATGATTGGCCACCTCCTGCATGCCCCCCACTGGGGATCGGGCCCTTGCCCTGACCAGGAATCGAACTGGCGACCTCTTGCTACATGGATCGACGTTCAACCACTGAGCAACACCAGCTGGGCTATACTACTACTTTTCAAATAATGCTATTTCTGTTCTCAAACTGATAAGGGGGAAATAATAATTTGAGTGAGAGTCATTGAAAACCTCATGTAGTCAGATGGATAACGAGTAAAATAATTGACTTAGATTTTTTTTCCCTTTATTGATTTTGAGAAAGAGGAAGTGAGAAGGAGAGAGAGATAGAAACATCCATGAGAGAGAACATTGACTGGCCGCCTCCTGCATGCCCCCCACTGGGGATCGGTCCCACAACCTGGGCACCATGTCCTGACCTAGAATCCACCAGTGACCTCTTGGTGCACATGGGTTAACACTCAACCATTGAGTCACACCAGCCGGACTTGACTTTGATTTTTTGAATTGCCACATGATGGCAGTAGAAGTTAGGTTTAATAAAGGAAGGTTTAATCAGATGCTGATTCTGTTAGCCTGCAGGATTATCTGGTTTCTTCACTGCATATTAAACATAAAAAAGATTCCACTGTAACCTTGGCCAGTTTGGCTCAGCTGTTAGAGCATCAGCCTGCAGTCCAGAGAGACCTGGGTTCGGTTCCTGCTAAGGGCACGTACCTTGGTCCCTGGCCCTGGTTGGGTCGTGCAGGTGGCAACCACTCTATGTGTCCTTTTCACGTCGATGTTTCTCTCTCTCTCCCTCCCACTCTATCTGAACAAAATATGGAAAAATGTCCTTGGGTGAGGATAAAAAAAAAATATTCCACTGTAGAAATATTTTGGTTCCACCCACTGAATTTCTTATCTCTTCCCCCTTCGAACTATTACTGTTATTATTATTATTTATTTATTTGGTTAATCCTCACCCGAAGATATTTTTTCCACTGAAATTTTTTTTTTTTTTTTAGAGAGAGTGGGAGGAAGGGAGTGGGAGAGGGAGAGAGAAACATCTATGTTGTGAGAGAGACACATCAATTGGTTACCTCCTGCATGACCGGGGCTGAATATTGAACCCGCATCCGGGGTACATGTCTTTGACTAGGAATCGAACCCGTGACTCTGTGTTCTGCAGGCCGACACTCTAACCACTGAGAAAAACCAGCCAAGTCTGTTATTACTATTTTAAGGACATTAGCCAGTCCATAGAGAATACTTACCAGAAGTGTCCCTTTCTTTTGAAAAAGCCAATTTTGAAATTCTCAAATCTCTTTCTGGATAACCATTTTTGAAGTTCACTGAATAGTCTCCCCCCAAAATTGTTTCATACTTACTTTGAAAAATGGAGATGTTCTAGCCAATTTATGCGTGGTAGTTTTGTAGTAATATTTCCTCATTCCTGATTTTAGTTATTTTTTCCTTGGACAACCTGGCTAAATATTAATCAGTTTTATTGATCCTTTCAAAGAACCAAAGATTAGAACAGAAATTAATAAACTAAAGAATAGAAAAACAATACAGAAAATCAACCAAACCAAAACTTGGTTCTTTGACATACATGCTGAAAGTCTTTGATTCCTAGTTCCTTGGCCCTAGCCCTGAGTATACCTGAATATCTTCTCTAGTTCATGGATTATCTCACAAGCTCATTTTTGTGCTTTCTAGAAACCCCTTCACCAGCTTCCACTCACAGCCTATCTTACAGGTGAGTAACACTATGGTCCTTTCACTTGGGATCTGCTCACACTGCCACTCTGCCAGCAGCCCTGGGGTTTCTTCCCCACTGGCCTGTACCATTGAAGTTTATAAGGTACCTTGTAAACAGTAGAGAATCTTGAATGGTACTATGTCTAATGTACATGTGAATTACTTAATTGTATTTACACTTGCAAGCAGGATTTCGGGCCTAACTGTCTAGGTTCTTCCTTTACATATGCTTTTTACCTTTACCTTTTTATTCCTCTGCTGATGCTTTTATTTCCCCTCCATAGAACTTCATCTGCCTCCTCTGGACTGGGGATTTTTTCTTTCAGACCATCCCTAAATAGTGGGGATTCAGGCCACATACAAGTACTCACCCCCAACAATTCAGGTAAGTTAAGTAACATTCCCAAAGATTGTAGCATCAACCATTGACACACATACAATAAAATGAAAATTTTCAAGGTGAAAAGAAGTTGGGGTTCCTCGCACAATAGAGCATTATCTCGTTTGACTCCTTAATATTCCTTAAGTTAACCCATTTCCTTCACATTGAAGGGAGGCTTTGGATTTTGCCTAAGTAGCACCCATTCTGTCATCAGCTAAGTTCTGTTGTTTAGCCAGAAGTTCAACCTGTAAAATTAAGCACACCCCCTTCTTTTTGAGATCTCTGTTTTAACATTGCTAGGAGCTCAGTTCTGAATGAAAATGATAAAGCCAGCATCCTATTTTCTCCCCATCTTTTTCAAAAAGGTACCTGTACTACTAGTCCTCTTGATGAGGGTCTGTCATCTTCCGTAGCTCACCAAAATCTTTATATTGTTTCTATATCTTTCTACTCATAAACTCCAATCTCTTTGTCCCCACCCCATCCTCACAGCAAAAGAATGGACTCTTATAAACCACCCCTTAAATTGCTTAGTGAACAGTCTTTTTTCCCTTCTGAGTAGTGTTCCACAGATCAAGAACTACCCTGATCTACAAGTAACACTACGAAGGAAGTGCCCAAGGAAGTTATATTTCACCATTCCATTCTATCCTTCAGGTCAGAGGGAGAGTAGAACCCCACTAGAGAGTCTTCCTGGTTTCCAGCTACCAGTCCTGCAGGTGAGCCCTGGCTAGTCTAACTTGATTAGGCCTGCACACTATATGCCTCACTTTGGTCTCCTGTTAAGGTGGTAGAATAACCAGTAGAGAATGACATGGGTCTCAAGTGTGATAACCATATGTACATAATTTTTCATAACGGTCTGTTTGAAAGATTCTATCCCACTATCAGATTAGCTTCCGGGTTTGGTTTTTTTGTTTGTTTGTTTTTTAATTAGGTTACATATAGTGAAGGGCTTTAACTGAAGAGTCTTGGCCAGGGTGAAGTGAGTGTGTGGACACAACTGATATTCCCAAGTTTCACCAAAAAGTGTATTCTCAATGGAATACATCTTTTGTACAGAGGTAATGCTGGATAAGAAAACCCATATTTATTTCCCCTGAGATAGCTAGAATAATATTTTGTCAACTTTTGGGACTATCATTCTGATCCAGGCAACAAGGGGAAAAGGGCATGGGAATGAGAAGGTTTGTTAAGAAGCTCTGTTCAATAAAGAGTCCAGTCTTGCCTTTTAAGTTAACTTTTATGGCTTTAGTTTTGAGAATATGTCTTCATGCCAAGTTCCTGGTGTCCTCAGGAACATACCAAGGTAGACAAATATTTTGCTCTCATATTCCAAAGTTCCCTTTATTTCTATTAGCAAGAAATTAGGGTCTGTACCCTAAGAGGCAACACTGGGAAAATAATATTCTTCTCTAAGATCTTCACAAATGGAGAGATTTACCTGTGGATGCGAAAAGATTTAGGAGACATATAAACCATCTACAAAGATATGGGCCCTAACTGTAAAAAGCCACTTTTGAAAAAGTTGAGGAAAATTGAATACCTGTTGGACATTTGATATTAAGGAATTATTTTCTGTAGGTATAATGCTATTGTGGTTATGTTTTTTTAAAGATAGTTTGTCTTTTGGAATACATACTAAAATAATTAAAGTTAAATGATTATCTGGGTTTTACTTTAGTATAATCTAGTGGAGAGGGGCAGTGAGAGGAGAAATGAGTTATTTGTTGAAACTGGGTGATAGGTACATGTGAGTTCATTATACTACTCTACTTTTGTGTGTGCTTTTCAAGTTTCCATAACAAAGTTTTAAAAAGAGTTATTGAAGAAAGTGCCAACTCCCTGGTGGCATTCGAATTCTGCCTCCCTGGTAATAATCTGTGGGTAGGGTAGTATTATGTTCCAGGTCTTCCAAAATAGTTTGATTTTTCAAGTAGTCATCTTATCATCACCAGAAACCACTGAAACATTAGTTTCATAAGTAGCGACAAAGCCTTTGATACACTAGATTCTCAAATCTTAGTTTGGAAAAGTTAGTTATCATGCAATGGAGAAAACTATGTGAAAGCAGTGGTGGTTTGCTGTGCCGATAGATTTCATAAATTGACTTTAGAGAGCCTTACTTGCCCTTTTGGTTATAAACACCCATATCTGCCTTTTCTCTTCTACTGCAGACTCTCTACCAACAAAGGCAGATGGGATTAGCCAGGGAGAGAGAAGCATGGACCACTCCCAGATAGATCATCTTCAAGGTCTGATCTATACATACTGCTAAAGGACAGATTGTAGCATCCAATACCCATTAGGCACAATGGCCTTAGAAAATGTACCCCTGCCTGGTTTTAGTCTGTACTTTTCTCTCGATCTTTACCACATATAGCCTGTATCACCTCCTTGGGAAGTGGTCAGGTCTTACAGAAGGCTTGTGCTTCAGGAAGGTGTTTACATTCCTCCCACAAGACATATAACTCCCTGATTTCCTACAACTTGAAACAAAGGTTATAAAAAATATGTCATCCTTGGGGGTGGGGGTAATATACTCATTTTTTTTCCTCCAGGATTTCATTTTTTAGTTTTAGATAGATTCTCCCATTGCCAATGTTAACAAGCCATAATTCTGTTCCATCCTAATTTATTATACTTGCCTATTGTTTCCTCTATGCCTAGTTATTATTAAATGTTGATTTTCCTTACTGTCTGATAATAACTGGAGACAGACATTCAGCTTACTAAAGCACATAGATATAAAATAAAGAGGATGTCCTTTTATTGCTACTGCAACTCTGTTGGTATTACAAGCTCTAGAATGGGCAAAGAACACTACCACTGAGATCAAATATTTATTCTTTGAGTACTAAGGGGTAGAAATGAGGAATTAAATGGGTAGGTCAAGGGCAGGCAGGCCTTAAGCAAAATATTGGGGGAAAATGTAAAAATAGCAAGCATCTGCCAGAAATAAATTAGGTTTTGGGAATGACCTTGTAGCTGAACTAAGATCCTATTATCTTTTCTGGAATTCTGAATTTATTTTAAAGGTATTTCCAGATACAGCTCGTTTTCTGTGCTGTAGCAGGTGCAGAAAACAATCTGCCTAGTGATACTGATTACTGCCTGTCCAAGTTATCACCCCTTTTTTTGACTAGAGAGAGGAGAGAAACATCAATTTGTTTTTCCACTTAATTTATGCATTCATTGGTCAATTCTTATATATGCCCTGACTGGGGATCAAACCCACAACCTTGGCGTATCAGGATGATGCTCTAACCAACCGAGCTACCCAGCCGGGGCAAAGTTATTGTTCTTTTAATTTACCTCAATATATCTTGCTGCTTCAAAAATAAAGAAAATCTATACAGTGATACCTCGGTTCTCGAACATAATTCGTTCCAGGAGGACGGTCGAGAACCAAATTGTTCGAGAACCGAAGCAATGAAACCCAATAGGAAATAATGGAAACTGGATTAATTCGTTCCAAGCCCCAGAAAATGCCTATTTACTGGCCTAATTTGTATATAATATGTAGAAAAACATAAGTCTCAACAAGAAATAAAAGTGTACAGTATGTCTAAGGGTTAAATTCAGTGTAAAGCGTGACTCTCTCCACAAAGCGTGACTCTCTCTGCACTCACACTGAGGACGCAAGCAAGGCGCGCTGGGCCGAATGAACGCCATTCGGCTCAACTCGGCTCATCTCGGAAGTTCGAGTTCCAAATATTTGTTCGGATTCCAAGACAAAAGTTTCTCGAATCTCCTGGTCGAATACCGATTTGGTAGAAATCCGAGGCGTTCGAGAACCGAGGTATCACTGTACTAAATCAGAATGTTAATATATTTAGCTACATTAATCTCTAAAACCATAGAAATGGCAAAGTGGAAGAGAGAGAAACAATTTTATTTTTGACCTTTTTATTATTCTAGCAATTTAGGGCTTCCACTCTCATTTCTAGATGATTAATCCATTTGATATCATTATATCTGACCCCAGCTGATGAAAACCATTCTGAAACATCAATAACTTCAGTTAAAGACCATGATCCCTCTTGTCCCCCAAGACTCATCCTATAAAGAGAGGGAAACATCTCTTTTCTGGATACAAATTTAAACACCAGAAAGATGTAAAACCAGTCTATATCAAGTTGGGCAGGAGGGAGTGTCAGGCTTGTAAAACCAAACCTGGAACCTACCTGCAGTCCTCTGAACAGTAGAAACCATTCCCTCTCCTCTACACTTCTGTAACCTAATTCTACTTTTTTAAAAGGACGCCTCTCCTAATTCCCACCTCCAATAAATATCCAGTCTAAATTATTCTCCACCCAGTTATTAAACTTTTTCACAAGCTCCGTGGGGAAGATTTACCCTGAGACATAGTGAAGAGAATGGGGATTTTGGAAAGAGTTAAAAAGGTACAAGGCAAAGTGGTCCCAGTATCAGAAATGAAAACATTCTCCTTCGTGTGCCACTCAAAATTGGAAGCAGGTCAAGCATATAGAGTTGGTATGAGGAAGAGTTGAAATATTTGTGAGACTGGGACATACTGAGATTCTTAGCTGCATTATGCATGGACTTGTGCTCAGAGAAAAAGAGAGGTGCAAGGCAGCTTTATATTCCAGGGAAAATGGTGGGACTAGGGGATGCATTGTAATAAATTCTATCAAAATTTTTACTCCTTCCCAATGGGACTAAGGTCTGGCCTCTCTGTAGTGCACGAAGGGAAAAGAACAGCAGATGAGAGCAAGAGCCTTTACCCAGCCCATAGTTTGGACTAGATCCTTAGCATTTCATTGAGGCTAGAGGCCTGGGTTTCTGCCCATTCAGTCCCCACCTCACTTTGTGCCCTATGCTCATCCTCCCTGGTCCACCCTCACAACATCCACCTTTCCCCGAACCCTAAGAACACAAAGCTTTTAGTTCTTTGCCACAAGGTAATTTTAAAAATGTGGTTTCTTTGTTTAAACAGTTACTAAGTTGGTTTGTCTTTTAGTAAGACTGCCCCTCCCATAGCCCCCATTCAGTCCTGTATGATCACATCATCATCATCGTCGTCGTCGTCGTTGTCGTCGTCATCATCATCGTCGCTGTTATCCTCCTCTTCCTCCTCTTCTTCATCTTCTGGCAATTCTTCCTCCTCCTCCTCTTCCTCTTCATCTAGACAAACCACCACCTCAGCTGGCTCAGGCAATCGAGAATCAAACCAATCCAGTACCTGCTGGGTGCTAAGCCTTGACGCCTCACTCAGTTGAGGGACATCACTTTCCCGTAACTGTTGGTGGGTTGCCCAGTACCTCTCCAAGGGCTGTATATCCGGTGGAGGTGGGGGCATCGGCAGAGGTGGTGTCTCAGCCCATTCATTCAAGGAGCGGGTTGAAGGCGAAGGTGTGGGAATTGCTGGATCCTGGAAACCAGGGGCTCCAGGTACTGCATTGTCCCGAAACCATTTTAGTTGCCCATGCTTCAAGGCATAGCGTGTGTCACCAAACCACTGAATAATCTCAGGCCGAGGTAAACCAGTGATCTGTTCTAATTTATGGTAATCCTCGCGTCGTGCCCATTGGCACTGTAAAAAAAACGATTTGAGGATGGCCAACTGCTCTTTGGTTTTGCGCTTGGTCTTTCGAGGACGTTGGGTATCCGGGGAAAGGTATTCTGCAGGCCCGACCTTACCTAGTACTGAGTTAGGCCTTAGCCTCTGGGGCCAGGCTGGCTCTACATGTATGGGTAGAGCCTGTTCATTGGGTGACAGTGGCTGTGGGAGACAGCCCAGTGGCTGGAGGGGTTTAGAGGTGACTGTAATTCCATTAGCCAGTACCTGGAAAGAGGAAGAAGAGGTAGAGGAAGAAGGAGGAGTCACATTACATGTTGACCCCTGCTTACAACTACTGGCAAGTAATGAGACTGGTGGGGGTTTATCCCGAGTATGCGGCTGGACAGCTGTGGAGTGGTTCCAGCAAGCAGTACCTAGGCCATGTGACTGGTCGGGACCCCTACCTGCCTGCTCCTTAGAGAGGCCACTGCTTTGAAGATCCTGCCAAAATTCTGATTGGTGGGAGAATGCCCCACTGCCAGGTGCTATCAGGGGTTCCTTTGCTTTCTGGAGACTCATTGGCTCTGAGGGGTCCTCGGGTTCTACCTTCAATCCCTTCATCTGGGTGGGCTCACTAAGAGTCAGGGGCACTATTCCAAGACTAACTTGTTCTGAAGGTGGCACTGGAGAAGGAGGCACCTCCTCTGGAGGCCGTCCTGCATGATGAGTAAAAGAGAGAAGGGATTTGAAGTGGAGTTGGTCCCTGTGATAGACCACTCGGGCTCGAGTCTCTTCTATTTCTTCAGATGACCAGCTAATGCCACAGCGGAGGCGCTGGGCCATGAACCAAGTCTTGACTTTCTCCATCTGCAGCCCATAGCGTAGACAGAGAAGGGCAATGTCTGCTAGACTGGGATAGGGAAAGTAGCTGAAGGTTTGTAGCAGGTGTTCGTTGCCATCTAGCTCACTGGTCTGAGCTGCCTGGGTCCACACAAGCTGGAGCTCCTCAGAGATTGGAGGGAGGCAGATGAGCCCCGCAGGGGAGGTATTAAGACTGCTGGCCTCTTTATTAGGAGGCATGCTGCTTTCTGATTTGTGCCCTTCAGAGATAGCTGTAAGAAGGGAGAAACAAGTTAATCTCTGGGGTTCCTCTTTTGGCCCATTACTCAATTTCTACCAAACAAAATGTTAGACTCCAAAACAACCAACTTTCTATGTGTCCTGTGCTGTTTTGCTTTTTAAAGTGCTGTAACAATTTCTCATTTATTTTCATAACCCTATGAGTCATCAGCCTGCTAAAATTCCTATTGTGTGTATGAAAAAACCAAAGTCCATAATTACCCCAAGCCACATGACTAGTGTTTTCACCAAGATGAAAATCTGTCTTTAGAAGTTAAGAAGGAAAACATCCTTATATAGCCTTTACCTTTCCAATTCAAACTTACTTCACCAAGTTCACAGAACGAGAGTCACAAAGACTCAATTGCAAAAACAAGAGGAGCAGTGATCTTGTTACAAATACCTTAGCTCCTAACAATTTATTATCTCTAGAATTTAGAAATGGGAATACAACACATGAATATCTAAAAGGTAGGACAGCACTGTTCCTCTGCCCAATCCTCAGCCCCCGTTTCTTTCCCTTCTTGGAGGTGGAATGTTGGGGAGCAGGGAACAGATAGTATCTTTAAGCCCTATACCCAAACCCGATAGCTTTAGTTTTTCTCTCAGTGGAATGAGAGGTCAGATATCTGGGATAAAAGGGGTTTACCCCACCCCCATGAGGGTAGAGAGAGGGGAATGTTTCCTTCCCCTAAGTCATCTTCAGAACAAAGGTTATCCCCTCCCCCCAGCCTTTGTCTCTTCCAACTGCACCGTCTCTCTCCAGGGAGCCTAGAGAGCTCCCTCAGAATTTAACAGCCCCCCTCCACGCAGGGCGGAAGGCCTGCAGCTCCTATCTCTTCAGGTCCGCTTTCTTAGGCCCGGCGGGCAGGTTCTAAATTGTAAGCAGGTCCTGCAAGCCACCCAGCAGCACTACTGGTTCAGGGTGTGGGGACTGCAGGTGTAGCCCCTGACCACACTTCATTCCTGAAATACCTGCTCAAATTATTCCCCAGGATAATCCTATTGACTGAATTTTAATTCAGCTCCCTGTGTGAGTCTTAGAGACAAGTATTACTTCTAATGTGTTAAAGATGGGACAGGATTCCTATGTAAATGCTACAAAATGAATTGAGAAAAATATCAAGTCCAGAAAGTTACAAACAGCAGCATAATGAGAATTTATGTGATTAGAAAAATTCAAAAGCATTTTAATGTCACCATTCACTTCTAACAAGCAAAGTTTAACTGGAGGCCATGCAGATCCTAAAGGCAATATACATTGAAGAGAACTTTAAGTGGGTAAATGGAGGCATGTCACAGTGGATAGAAATATAATTCTTGAATAAAGCCCATCTGCAGTTTGAGCCCCAATTCTGCCACTAACTATGTGATCCTGGGCAAAAGTTACTAAATTTACATATGATCCTGTTTCCTTGTGTGTTAAAAAAAAAAAGGAGACAGTGCTGGGTATATGTAAGTTAACTGTTTTTACTGAGCACCCACTCTGTGCTAGGCATCATGTGTAAGCAGAGCCCAAAGTAGCTGCTAGAGGTTGAGGTCTGGAGTGAAGCAAATTTGAGATTAATCAAAGCTCCACCACTTTCTAGAGTGCTGCTTGTACTTGGGCAAGTTATTTAACCCCTCTAGGCCTTAGTTCCCCATCAGAAAAAAAGGAAGTTATAAGCTACCTCACAAGTTTATGATTAAATGAAAAAATTCACTTGACATTATGCCTAGAACAAAGGCTCAATAAATAGCAGCTTTTATCATTACTTCAGCCTCATGGGGTGATTCCAATATAAGGCAGTGTTCCTCCTAGACAATAGGGGAAGTGAAGCAAATACTGAATCCTTTAAAATCACTGTTTTCAATCTTTCTGCAGAGTCCTAATTCTAGCAAGCACAAGGAGAAACCAGGGTGTCTGTGATTTTATAGTTCTTATAGTTTGAAAGTTGGATGTAATTCCAGAAAGAATTTTGCTGTTTTAAAAAAGTATGAAAACCACTACTTTATGAGAATTGGATTCATAGTTTGGATATAAAACCTTTTTGACTGCCAAGTGAATTGCCAGTGTGGTAGCTCTACCTTCACCCTCCAGGTTCATCCCAGACAATTGAGTGGCCCTTGAGGAAACTGCTTACACAGCCAGGTCTAAGCCCCCAGGAGCACCACCAAACCTAAGCTGGAGAATACTCTACGATTGCAACACTTGACATCTACTTAACCTTATTTTTGTCCTGTTTTTTAAGGACCCAGTAACACTTTGTATATGAGAAAAATGTAGCACAGGGAATAAAGCAGTCCAGAATGAGGATGAAGACTGCCAGACAGGAAATAAGGCAGGCACAGCTATAAGCCTAGGAGGAAGCATTTTGCTTTCATGTGGTTTGCTATCCTTCGGATTCTCAAAGCATCTTCTTGATATTTCAGTGTAACATGCAGTAATGCAAATTCCATATATGGTATACTGTATACATCTAGTTTTCCAATTATGCAAAACACAAGTTATGGAACATTTCCTAATACAGAATGGTGGCTCAAATTAAGCTACAGCTGTATAGCTGGGTACCTCCCTGGAAGAATCTGGCTTTGAAATAGAAACTACACTAGAGAATGGTTCATGAGAATTATAACATGTAGGGTAGATCCTACAGCGATTAAAACCACAGGAAGACACAACAGTGACTTGTGCCTGTATTTGGAAAGCGTAGGGAAAAAAGGAATCAAAGCTGCAGAAATTACTTCTACAGGCAGAGGTAGCAGTGATGGTGGGATTATCAATTCTGAATAATTACTAATTTGTATCTTTATGAAATAAGCCAGATATGCCCTACTGCTACCTCAAGTCATTAATTAAAAAAAGTCTGGCCCTGGCCGGTTTGGCTCAGCAGTTGGAGTGTTGGCCTGTGGTCCAGAGAGACTTGGGTTCGGTTTCCGCTAGGGGCACGTATCTCAGTTGCAGTTTGTCCCTAGCCCTGGCTGGTTGTGCGGGTGGCAGCCACTTGATGTGTCTCTTTCACGTCAATGTTTTTCTCTCTCTCTCTCTTCCTCTCTCCCACTCTATCTGAACAAAAAAATGGAAGAAAATGTCCTCGGGTGAGAATTTAAAAAAAAAGTCTGGATATGGCATTTCTTTCCCTTTCTTTGGGCTTTCCATACCCCTGGGCAGATGGCAGAAAAGAATGAGATGCCTTAAAATTGCAGGCTAGGTATTCACACAATCCTAGGGAAAAAAAAGAGGTGTTCATAACTTTAACCTAGACTATGGTTGAAGCAGGAGACAGTTCAAAAGACTAGATATGATCCTGCTAATTTCCCTAAATCTATTCAAAGAAATGAAGTGCAGACTGAAATATGTTTTGATGATACAGTTTTAAGGGTCTTAAAGGACTTTTAGTGATATTCAACTTACATGCTTCTCAACTTTCTTTTTTTTTTTATCCTCACCTGAGGACATTTTTCCATTTTTTGTTCAGATAGAGTGGGAGGAAGAGAGAGAGAAACATCAATGTGAAAGGGACACATCGAGTGGTTGCCACCCACATGACCCAACCAGAGCCGGGGACAAACTGCAACGGAGGTACGTACCCTTAGCGGGAACCAAACCCGAGTCTCTCTGGACCGCAGGCCGACACTCTAACCGCTGAGCCAAACCGGCCAGGGCTTAACTTTTTAGATCATAAAACTCTTTGTGAATCAGATCAAAGTTATGGATACTCAGAAAGTTATGACTACTCTTCCACCCCCAAATACATTCACAATTATGCATTATATATATAATCACAGGGGGTTTACTGGTTGCTCAAAATTACAGCTTAAGAACCTGTCTAATGTTCTCCTAACTTAATAAAGGCAATGGTGGTGACTGCTTAAAGAACAGCTTGATGTGAATGAATGGAAAGAATGTATGGAAGACTCTAGAGAGTGTAAATAAGTGGGTACTGGTGATATTAGTTGGAGAGAATGGAAGAGAGTGGTGTTCAACTGCACCAGGAGCCTGGCTTCACTAACCCACTGGATTATATGATCAATACCCACAGTGCACTGTATACCAGAGGCTGGTAGGCTACTGTCTAGTGTGCCAAAATCTTCCTTCAGCTGCCATGTATACTTGGGCCAGTTATATGTGATTCCAAATCTGCTTATGCCTATTGTTTTCCTGTATTTATATAATAATGTAATTAAACATTACATAAACCTATGAAAAATTAGTGCATTAAAACTGGTTATTATGAAAGACATAATACAAAGGAGTATACATTTAAAAAAATGTTGATCTGGGAGTAGGCAAGGCAACTATAAAAGATAGGGGAAGGGGTTAGAGGACTTTAAAAAATCTCAAAAGGATTCTGCATTCAGCTTGTTTCTAAAGTGTTTAAGTTCTCACTCCACTTTAAAGAAACCAAACCTGAAAATCATAGGCGATTTCCCCTATCAGACTGCATGCTATAATTACCTGGGAAACTTAAAGCGGGGCACCCTCCTCATTTTGACTTCATTAGTCTGGACTGGGGCCCAGGCACCAGTAGTTTTAAAAAGTTCTCAGGGTACAGCCAGATTTGAGATTTGCTTGTGTAGTTTATTCTAAAAAGACAATTGAGAACTCCAATCAGCACACTTACACAAAGAAAACGCGGGGACTACCCCAAAAGACTGATGAGATGAACATCCTTTTAATGACAATATTTAGATATGTATGCATCATTTTTGAAAATTCCCAACTTTAACTGGCTTATTTCAATTACTGCCACCTACCTATCCTAATCATATAAAAGGGTTTCACATGTATGGTGAAAAGGAAGTTCATATGATAAAAGATCTGATCTGGGCCCATCACCTTACTAAACAGGTCTCAGCTTGAGTCTTCTTTCAGTTTATAAGTCTCAGGTTAGGACGCAACACCGGGAACCTCTCTGTAGACTGGTTCTCACTTTCCTGGTTGGTTTTCTGAGTATGGCTAGGTAGGGGGTCAGAAGGGGCAGTTTCTCCTAAACCTTCCATTCCCAAAGGCCAGTACTCCCCAGAAGTAAGGCCAGGTTTCTGTACATGTGTTGAGGTCGCCAGGAGGTAGTCATGGGGAGAAGGGAGGCCTGTGAAGGAAACGTTTCTCCTATCCTCCATTTCACAGGCGGTCTACAAGGCTCCAAACTGGGTCAGAGAACAAAAAGTTGCCGCACTTGGGGCGATGAGCCCCAGGGAGCTAGTGAATCTCAATCCTCCCCTCGCCAAGGGCGTCCCAATCCAGCCTTCCCCTCCTCCCTACACACCCACTCACCCTCCCCCAGTTACAACAGGGAACCGAAAAGTGCACAGGAGAAAGGAGAGAGAACCCGGCGAGTTCGAAACTCGAATTCTACCCCCCGCGCGGGGACAGGGCTCAGTAGATCGGAGATCGTACAGGGGGCTGGGCGGGGAAGTCGGAGGGGCTGGGGATCACTCACCGCGGTCCGGCCCGGGCGGCGGCTCCCAGCCTCGCACCATGGGCCGGGGGGAAGGGGGAGAATGGGCAGGGGGCCTCCGGGGTGGAAGTGGGGTTCCCGCCCGGTGCGGCCTGCTCCGAGCCCACCCGCACAGAGGGTCGGGACCAGGAATGCCCCTCCCGCCCCCGAGAGCGCGCCCGTCTAGCCCAGCCCTGCTCGAGCGAGTTGGAGGCGGGGCGGATGGGTGGGGCGGGCTCCAGGGGCGGTACCAAGGTGGCCCGAGCACCGATTCGCGAACGCAGGCAGGCGGGCACCGGAGGAACACGCTGAGCTGGCCATTGGCTGCGTGTGTCTCGGCTGAAGTCGGCTATTGGCTGCGTGGGCCTCAGCCAGGGTGGCTATTGGCTGCGTGGAGCAGGGAAGATGTCCTCTTCCCGGGCCAGGGTACCTACCCCCACCCTCGACCTAGCGGCGCCGGACCTTCGGAGTACACGGGGCCTTGTTCCTTTCGGAATTCCCCCAAGGAATTCACAGCACTTTGCCGAACTGTCCAGACTGCCAACAACTACTTCCCATTTACAACTACTTCCCATTTGTTTCCTCCTAAAGGAAGACCTTTTCAGCATCCCCTTAACAGCCTTACACACGAGCCGCGCCTTCCCAGCAAAGGGGCCAACTGCCGTCAGCAGCGTCACTGTGAACGTAGCGCTTGAGCAACCGGGAACTTGTTCTCGAGATGGATCAAATGTCTTGCCACCCGGAAAGACGAGGAGGATACTAGGAGCGTGGCACCTTTTGCTCCCCGGATCCAGCTGGCACCAGACAGGTGTTCCCAAAGAACTGCTGGAGCGGTCACTTCATTGGGACCTGCCAGATCCCAGGTTTCCTCCTTGGCTGGTAAAGACCAGAATCTCTGCCTCATATTTGGGACTTTGGTTTTCACAGTCGAAAAACAGATGACAATAAAATGAACTTCCCAGCAATGCAGTATTTCATACACTCCAAAGTTCTGGGCCAAACGTTTGTATAGTTAGGATTCTCAGTCTTCTGACTAAAACTTGGGACCAGTATTTTCTGACGTGACCCTTCTGTTCTTGTTTGTCTTTGAAAAAGTTTTTTTTGCCTGTTCAGGCCACTAATAGCCCTATTTTTTCTTGCATTTGCCTCGTCCTCCCTGCTCTCCCTTGTTACATTTAGTAACAATCTCAACTCCTAACACCCAGCCCCTTGTCCTTCAAATTAGTATTCTGGCCCTGGCTGGTTTGGTTCAGCGGTTAGAGATTGGCCCTTTGACCAAAAGGTGGCAGAGTTTCGCTGGCCCCAGTCCGGGCTCATGCTAGAGGCAACCAATCGATGTGTCTCTCACACTGATGTTTCTCTGTCCGTCCGTCCCTCCCTCCCTCTCTTCTACTCTATCCAAAAAGATATCAATGGAAAAATAATCTCAGGTGAGGGTTAACAAACAAAAAAAGGAACCACAAAACAAGTAAGCAACAGAAAGGGTAGGGCCAAAGTAGGTTTGTAGTTACACAAAAGTTTATTCTTACATTTTTATTTATTAATTATTGTATTATTTTCCATACAACTGTAAACCTACTTTGGCCACACCCATATATACTCAGCTTTAGAGTTAGAAGCTTTTGATCCCTCAGGGTTTCAGCCAGGGCTGGTGGTGTACACAACCTCCTCGATCATGACTATTATAATGCCCCCTGATTTGTATGCAATGAAGGGAAAGTGAAACATTTTAGGCACCTGAAACCCTCAGTTTTCAATGGAGTGGTCACTCTCTCATAATGGACACAATTAATGAGACTTGTTTGGCTGGGAAGTAAGGCAGTAACTGTCTGGGAATTAAATGCCTGACCCTGGAGGTTTCAGTCAGTCACTCAGCATCACCAATGATCACAGGCTTGGAATTATGATAGGTGAACTCAGCCACCTTTTCTTGTCTCAGAGACACTCACGCCAGGAGCCAGGAGCAGAATCAAAGCCTGATTTAGGAGAGGGAGAACCCAAGGAAAGGACAAGAAACTCCTCTGCCCCAGTCCAGGAGTATAGGCTGAGACCTTCCTCTTTCATGTGATTTTCACCCTAAAGCTTTAGAAGATGGAGTGGACTGACTAGGTGGGGAAATGGAAGAGAGGAAGAGTATGACAATATCAGAAAAGGGAGGGTCCCACCTTTAGCAAGACAATATAACCCTCCCAGCTCTTCCAGAACATCATGTCATCCTCAAGGTAGAAATATTATCCTCCCATCTTTGGTAAAAATCCTCTCCCTTTGTATGGCTCAGACAGTAGGAGGGCTGACCCTCTAGCTAAGGAAGATAAGTTTCACAGACCCTTCTAAAAGCACTGGAGGAGCCCCAGCAATGTGTAAACATGGTCATAGGTTTTGGTAAAAATTGGAAAAAATGCTTAAACTGCAATTGAAGCAGGAAAGTTAGAATAGGAAACAAGGCCTCAAGCTCTAACCCTCCCCTCCCATTTTTTCATCTTGGCTGGAACATCCCAGACGTGACCTTCACTGACCACCTGTTTCTCTTCTTGCCCCTCCACAATTTCCTGTAATTGAGAGGACAAAATAAAGAAATTTCTATGTGGGCCCTGGCTGGTTTGGCTCAGCAGTTAGAGCGTTGGCCCGCGAACCAAAGAGTCACGGGTTCGATTCCGATCAAGGGCAGGTACCTTGATGGCAGTTTGGCCCTAGCCTTAGTCAGGGTGGTGCTGGAGGCAACCAGTCGGTGTGTCCCTATCACATCGATGTTTCTCTCTCCCTCCCCCTTCTCTTCCTCTCCCTCCCACCCTATCTGAAGATAAATAGAAAATTATCCTCAGATGAGGATTTAAAGAAAAGGTCCAAAAGTTGGGTCTATCCTGGGATTGATTAATCAAATGGTTATGGTGAGTTTCTGCCTATGTTCTGGAATTCCCAAGAAATACGAGCTGAGGGCTGACTCATCAGAACTGTAAGAATTGAGGATTTTGGATAGCAAAAGTTGCAGTAAAGGAGTTTGTGGAAGAAAGGGTTCAGACAGGCCTAATGTCAAACTAAGAGGTAAGAAGTCTGGAAAGACATTAGGGCCACAGAGGAACCCAAGGCAATAAGCCATGGTGTGAACCCCTGGAACACCCCCACTTACTTCTCCTTGGATGTCTGCTCCTCATGCTGACTCCTCTTCAGCATATGTAGTTTTACTTATAGCATGTACCAAAGAGTGGATACTCTGCAGTGACATCACAACTTGGTTATTGTGATGTAATGAGGAGGCACCTGATTATTCTCAAGGTAGGGCTTCCCTACTAAGAACACTATCTCATTACTGTGGGTAATTGGATTTTTCATCATTCAGGTGGCATGGGAGTCAATACTATGCTAGAATTTGACCTTTTCCAAGGACGCCTCCCTTTGATATCTATTTCTATTGCTCATTCTGTACTAGACAGAGGTCCTTGCTTTTCCTCCCTCTCATTTCTTATCTTTGGCTTTAGGGTTGCCTTTGATAAGGAAAAGGCTTTGCTAGTCTCTGCAGTGCTTAAGGAGCTGACTGTAACTTGGATTGCTCCCTTAAGGAAAAATGGCCCCGCCCAATAGGAGACTTCTATCCAAGCTATTCCCTTTAACTGCATCAGCAGCTGGTGCTAGGTGACAGGAAACTAAAAGCACTGGGCCCTGATAACTTTTCCTACCACTACCCCAAATGGTGGTGGGATCCTATTAAGGTGTCATATACCTGGGTGGACCAACTCCTTCCCACCTAACTTGCATACCAGGGGACTCCAGTAGACAAGGGAATAGGATTTTTAAGAAATGAGATTACCAGGAAATTGGCCTCTGGGTCAAGATCTTGCTATCCTTGGCCAAAAACAAACAATACTTCTCAATATCTGATTGTATATTTTCATATTTCAACTTTATTTCAAGCATGAGGTCTTGAATCCAGAAGGGGGGGCTGGTGCATGAGAAAGCTAAAGTGAGACACAATACTATTGGTTTTGGGGCCCAGTGAATAGGGCTGCCCTATGAAGGGGTGAGAAGGCTCTGGGCCTGATGAGAACAGCAGTTTAGGGGGAGTTCACAGGGCAATTTCCTTTCCCATCCAGGTTAGCTATTCAATGGGTGGATTATGCAATCTTTTTAGCAACTTTAGTAATACCAACAAAAGAAATGCCAAGGATGGGGACAGAGAGAAAACTACCATTCCCTTTAGTTTCCCCTTATGCCTGGATAGGAAAGGAAATAGAAACCAGTAACAGAAAATGAAACGTTTCTGATACTATCTCTTGCCATGAAAAAGGGTGGTTCTGAATGTGCAGAGGCCTGTTTCATAGCCTGGGAATGTGGTCAAGAGGACTGGGTTTAAGTCCTGTCTTGAGCTGTACTAGAAAAAAGTTCTTTGACCCTGCTGGAGTCACATTTCGTCTCTGGATCTATGTCCCCATCTATACTAGAAGCCTGGACCCCATAATCTCTAAAGACAAGCCTTGTTTCAGGTCTCTGATTCTATGACCTGTGGATTACAAGGATCCAGGGGAGCTCCAGAGAAACACAGGAGTTAGAAGCAACGAATATGGGAGTTAGATTGGAAAGTAGAAGAATTAGGGTTTATTATGAAGAGAAATGACAGCCTACATTCATAAAGAGAAACAAAGATAAAAGAGGAAGGCTATGAAACATCTAATGTCTGGATGAGAGGAAAGGGCAACAGTGTTTCTGCTGTGTTGCTTTAAGGACCCAAGCAAGCCCCTGACCATGGTAATATTTTCTCTTACAGCACTTCCCTGTCCACAGCTGACATATTATACCGTAAATTAAAGTCATCAGCCTTTAGGGGAAAGTCCCCACCACAATGCTTAACACTCCTAGTATGTCCGGCTTCAAATTAGGCTATCAGTTTCCCCTCAGGCATTGGGGCAGCTCTATTGCGAAGAACAAGGAGACTCAAGTGTTGGGTCTATAAAGCTGAGAATGAGGGCATAAGTGCGCCACAGTACTTCTTACCGAGAACAATGGATTATCCTTGGTTCCCTGCCCCCACCCAGCCTGCATTTATCCACTAATACCAGGGCTCTAAGAGAGGGCTCAAACACACAGAGCATCCAGCAATTGTCCTAGTCAGGAATCCTTCTAGCAGAATTTAGGCAACTGGCCTTTTTAAGGCTAGTGGGGAGAGTGTAAATGGGATTGGCACACCAACAGGTATAGAGGGTTGGCTAGGATCAGGGGAGAATCCCATTGTATGGGTTCAAATGGATTCCAAGTTCTCTATCAGGCAGGAGGGTTGGTCCCTTACTGATCATGAAGAGCTAGGACACTAGCACAGGAGACAGCAGCAAGCTCCTAGAAGGAAATGAAGCTTGGTACCCTAAGTGCTTTGCCTTTTCCAAGCCAGTTCCGGAGACGGAGGATGGGAAGGTAGAACACAATTAGAAACTGTGTTCTTTTTCCCTAATAAGATGACATATGACAAGGTTTTAAATTTTGTTTGTAAAGGAAAAAATATAACATCATGGTTAAGCACAGAGGCTCTGGAGATTTCCTGGGTTCATAATCTTAGCTTTGCCATTTACTACTGTGTGATCTTAAACAAATTACTGAATTTTTCTGAGCTGTTTCCAATCTCTAAAACAGGGATAATATTATAATGCATGCAAGACACCAGATTTTAGTGAATAAATAAGTAAATGTGAGCTATTACAACTGTTAATACAACCTAACAGTAATGCATACATATTAAGCAAGAGATTACGACACACTGAGCCTCGACCCAACCTCCCTCTCCATTACCCTCCCTTGGGCTCTTCACTGATGACTAAGTGCATGCTTGGTGGCTTCCAGTGTAGTTTCTCTTTTCACTCTGCTGGAACTTTGACCTGAAGGTGATCCATAAGATGCATCAAACTGTTTTCTTCACCAGAAGGATGATGTTTAAATGGGCATTTTTTTGAGGAATGACTCAGGGTTCCTCTCTTTCAGCCATCTTTCTTCAAAGGATTAAGACTTTGCACAGGAGGGGCATGATAAAAAGCCTCATACTATATTCCAAACGCATGTACGGGTACATGCGCATACACTCTTACTAGAAGGAAAAAGGGGTTTCAGAAATTTTTCTTGAGAAATCAGTAAGACAGAAAAGGGGGTAGGTAGCTGGTTACCTGGGAGCTCCTTGTTCATCTGCATCAGGAAATGCTTCTTTTCCCTCTTCTCCCTTCTAGAAGACTGTCAAGAAGGAGCCTGAGGGAGGAAGGTGGATCAACCATGGTCTTGGAGAAAAAGTAGATTTTCCACCCCTTCTGGAGGGAGAAGGAATAGCACAGATGAATAAGGATGAGAGAGGCAAATGGAAATAGAGAAAATGAAGATACATACTCTACATGCTGAAAGAAAAAATGAGTAATGAGAAAGGGACAAGAAAAAAAGCAAAGAGCTTAGGAATAGGGTAAGAGGAAAAGAAAAATAACCAGCAGAGGTTAACTGGAAGGCGAAACATAAGGCATGAAGGTGAATGGGTAAGAGTTCAGCTTTCCCATTTCACTTATTCAGGATATTGGGCAGACTGCTATCTTCTGATGCCATTTAATTTGCAAGTTCTTTTGATTCTTGATTTGAAATGTTTTCCCTTTCTTATACCCACAATCCTTTAACCTCAAAAGAGCCCCGAATATTGTTTCCTTTCATTTTGGGACACCCAAGCATCATTTTCCCCAAGAGAGATGCACCTTTGCAAAATGATCTGAGAACCCAGGCTAGGGCCAGAGCAAAAAGCAAGGGCAGAGGATGGGCTATGGTGTGAGAGGCCTGAATATTGAGGTTGCAGCATGGTTTGGGGATGCTTCCTGGGCTGTGGAAGACCCATCCTTAGCCCTATCCAGATGCTAGGGGCTCTGTGTGTTCTGAACTGTAGCACTCCAACTATACTTTGGAGAATGTGACTTCTAACTACACTGTGACACTCACAGATCATAAAATGTCAAAGCAAGAAGGGCCCATAAGAGATCACCTAATCCAAATCCAACTTCCCAAGGAGGAAACTGGGCCCCAGAGAGGGTAAGGAACTTGTCCAAAGTTATACAGTAGTGACTTCTTGTCTTCTTAAGCAGAAACAGAATAGTGATTCTTGTGATTCACTGTCCCTTGACAAATACTGTCCATAAAGTGCTTAGAAGTCATTAGTAGGCACCCCAGAAAGATAAAACTGGCATTTTTCTGGAAGCCCCTGAGTGTACCAGCCCTTTAGATGCTGCATTATTTGGCTACAATGACAGACCTGGGGTTGGTTTTGCCTTTATTTTAACCCCCAAGGCTGCCAGGAGGCTGAAGGAAGAAGCTCTGACTGCTACCTGCCATCACTCCCCAGCCAATTCTCAGAGACTGAATGAAGCCAGGGACAGTCAGGGGTGACAAGGGAATCCTGTCATAATGCCGGAAACTAGGGAACATGGCCAAGTTCCTGGGACTTCAGCAAGGCAATTACGGCTGAGTTAAAGCTAGGGTGGGCAGGGCTGGCTGGGGGGACCTGAGTGGCAAAGTAGGAGAGAAAAAGAATGAGCCAGCAATCTAAATGACTTCACACAAAACACCTCCTCCCCAAAGAGGTACCTTAACTTTCGGCTGCATAGGCCTGATGAGCTTTTTCTCCCAGTGTCCACTCACTTAGGAGAACATCATCATCCCCATTTTGCTTTTTTCTAATCCTTCCAGCACCTTTTCCGGTCTCCTTTCCTTATGCCTTGAGTTCCTTTTACTCACGTCCAACTGGTGTTTTCCACCTTATCTCCCCTACTTTAACTGATTCCACCTACTTCCACACCCCTTTGATTTCCACCTACTTCCACATTCCCACTTGACTCTCTTGGACAATTCCCCGCCAAACTCGGCTTCTCCCGTTCTCCCCCGCCAAATCTTCGGGCTCCTCCACCCCCGGGTGCCTTTGGTATTTCCGCAGTTGACCGCAGTCGTCTCAGATAAAGTGGATCCAGCCCTGAGGCTCCGGGGTTCCGCCACTGCCCGGGTGCTCGGGCCCACGTAGAGCATAGTCACGGCCGCCGTTGTTGTCCCAGAACTCGTGGCCTGTCACGCGGTAGCGCAAGGCAAAAAGCAGGGCGCCCCCAATGGGCGGCGCGGGCAGGCGAAAGGCAAAGCGATCGGCGCGGGGAGGGGGCGGGGCCGGGCCGGCGTAAGAGGCAGGCGCTTCGCGTTGGCTCCGCCAGCCGTCGGCGCTCCAGCGCACGCTCACGCGCTTCTCGTAGGCAAGGTCCAGTACCCGCGCGCTCCCGGCCACGCCCAGCGGGCCCGCCTCGACGCGTTCTAGGCAGATGCACTGCGCCTGCAAACGGGCCGCGAAGCCGGGCTCGCTGGCAGGCTCCAGAGCGGCACGCGCCTCCTGGGGACGAAAGAGGGAGAGGGAGGACGAAGCCTCGGATACAAGAGGGCAGAGACAGGGGGAGGGGTCAGGGCGAAGAACTGGACTAATCCGAGCCCGACCCCGGGGTCCCAGCCGTCAGAGTGCGACCCAGCTGCGAAAGTAGCCTAGAGCCCCTCTCCAAAAGGGAAGTGCAAGAGCAAGCCCAGGGTTGGGGGTGAAGATGGGTATTCCTTGATAATTTCACTCCCCCACGCCCGCCGCAGGGATGGGGAGGTCCCGGGGAAGAGGCGTGCTTCTGACGCCTACCTGGAGGCTGCGGGCGCGGGGCTGGCACGGTGCGAAGTGGCGGAGGGCGTCCCTCTGCAGCTGGACCTGCACGTGGCGGGGAACCCGGGGCAGCTCTCCGGGGCGGAAGCGGCGCACGGCGGCCAGCTCCAGCCCCAGCGCGTCGGCGAAACGCACTCTCTTGCGGGTGTCGGGGCTGCGGCTCCGGGGTGCTCTGGCCCCGCCGCCTCCGGCGGGTGCTGAGCGAGCCCGGCGGCCCCGACTCGAAGCGTGAGTGCGGGATCGGGCCCCGAGGCGTGTCCCGCCCTCCCCTGGCTCCTCCTCCGGCTCCTCCTCGAGGCTGGGCCGCTGGCTGCGGTAGTAGGCTCTCTCTGTCAGCGCCGCGATGAAGCTCAGGTTGCGGGGTATGTCCGTGCGGGGGGGCCGCTCGCGAGACATAGCATCCCCCCCGCCCGCAGCGCCGCCGCGTTGCCCTCCCTTCCGATGGCCAGCCCGCCCGGCGTCCACGCAGAAGCTGCCGGGCCCGCTTCAGCGGTCCCTGGAGGTTGCGTCTTCTCCTTGCAGTCACCTCCAGGATCCTCCACTTCCCGTAGTTCTGCCTGGGTTCTGCGACTACATTTCCCTCCCTCTGGCCGTCAGCACCCAGGATTTTGGACGATCAACTCCTGTCTTCTTCGAGCAGTCTGTCTGCTCTGAGCGTGCGCTCAGCCGCACACACCCTCCGGTCTCCGGGCCTTTGCGGCCCCAGCCTGGCCTCCGCCCACAGCCCTCTGACAGGTGGCTCCCCATCTGTCTTCAGAGCCTTGGCCGCTGCAGCTGCACCAAGGGGCGGGGACTCTACCATTTCGGCCCTGAGTGTGAACACTATGCCTTTTTTTTTTTTTTTTAATGGCCTCAACCTTGCTGGAAGAGTTAACTCAGGACGTAAAGAGTAACGTTTCCTTTTCTTGGAGGGAAAGGTCCAAAGGCTCAGCGTGTGGCTTTTTCTTAAGGGTTACCGTTTTCTTTTCTAAACCCTAGACTTCAGGTTTGGGAGCGGGGTGAGAGTGGGTGCAAAGAAGGGAAGGTTATGAAAATTAGTCCCAAATAGGAGCTGAGATGTGCTCACAAGAGTTGGGTGGCCCATTGGAAAGAGTTCTGAACTGAGACTTCTAGAAAGACATAGCTTCAGGTCTCATCTCTGGTGCTATTTAGCTGCGGGACCTTAAGCAAGACACAACTTCTCTGAACCCCAGTGTTCTCATTTGTAAAAAAAAAAAAAAAAGTGGGTTAGAGTTCTGATCTCTAACTGGATGGTAAGCCCTTTGATGACAGAGGCTGTGTCTGATTCATAGTCAGTTTCATTACATAGTAGGCCCTCAAATTACTGAATGAATAAGCATACCACTCTCGGAGCTGGAACTGTGTAGGGTTCTAGCTCCAGTGGGAGGTTCCATGAAGCACAGAGCTGGCGTTTTTCTTTTTCTTTTTTTTTTTACCTTGTTAGTGAAAAAAGTGTGAAGTTTTGTTTACTTTTTTCTAACTTATATACTGATCTTATATAGCACTTACAATGTGCTAGGTATGGTTGTAAGAATTTTACAAACATTAACTCATATAGTGTAGACATCATAGGAACAGGGAGTATTATTATGGTTATTTCACAGATGAAAAAAACAATGGGGAGAGGGGCTAGGGCTCTTGCCCAAGGTCACATAGATAATAATTGGGGAGCTGGGATTAGAACCTCAGTGATCTGGCTCTATAGTCCACTTACTTATCTAATTGGTCATATAAGATTAAAACATTTAATGGTAATAGTTAACATCTTCAGACTTGAAGTATGAGGACTCTTAGAATAGAAATGAAATCTCTAAATGTAAAACAGCAGGAGAGTTTAACTGTAAAATCACGAGTGACTAAGTTGGAAATAAACAGTGAGACATATACGGTCTTAATGTACAATCCATTCCTGTTTGCATTTTAACTCCAGCAATTCTATTGTAATAACCACAGCAAAGCTATTTATCCAGGACTAACTTTTAAAGTGAGACAGCCCTGGCCGGTTTGGCTCAGTGGTTGGAACGTCGGCCTGTGGACCAGGGAGTCCCGGGGTTCGGTTCCCACTAGGGGCATGTACCAAAAAATAAAGTGAGATTAATTTTTTTTTCTTTATTGATGTTAGAGAAAGAGAAAGAGAGAGGGAGAGAGAGAGAGAAACATAGATGAGAGAGAACATCAATTGGCTGCCTCTTGCATGCCCCCTTCTGGGGATTTGGTCCACAACCTAGGCATGTGCCCTGACCAGGAATCGAACCGGTGACCTCTTGGTTCATGGGTTAATGCTCAACCACTGAAACACACTGGCCGGGCTGACTTTTATTTTCTTATTTGATATAAATCCATGGACATATTCTTTTCATTTTTTGGTGTAAAATAATGTTTCACTAATTTGTTTTATAGTCACCCGGTTTAAAACTGTCTTCCTTACTCTGATGAAATATATCTTTAACAGAATAGATAACATTCAAGATTAGCCTATATGGCCTGAGATTTTCTGGTAAAAGCTCTGTTGCCTTTTCTACAGTTTGAGCTGCCATTCCTTGGCTCTATGGTGTTAGTCTGAGAAGATCGTTGAGATACACAGCTTTGGACCTAGGATAATTTGTGTTGGTCTAGTTCTCCTGGCTGCTCAGATGGACACTGAACCCTTATTCCAAAAAAGCCTTTGTTTCTTAAATGCCACTGCAGGTATCTTCAAACATCTGACTGAGCCTGCTCAATAACTGGCCAGAGGCATTGAGTGATTCAATCAACATTTATTGGGGGTCTATTAGGCCTCCAGGACATAAAAGTGAATAAAATTCAGCCCTGGTCAGTTGCTCAGTGGTTAGAGCATCGGCCTACAGACTAATGAGATGTGGGTTTGATTCCAGTCAAGGGCATGTAACTTGGTTGCAGTCCTGGCCCTAGGCAACCAGTCGATGTGTCTCTTTCACACTGATGTTTCTCTCTCTCTCCCTCCCTCCTACCCTCCTACTCTATCTAAAGATAAGTGAAAAAATATCCTCAGGTGAGGATTAAAAAAAAGAATAAAATTCAGTTCTTCCTCTCAAAAAGCTTATAAATAAATGCATGGCAGACAGAAATATATTTGGATCCTGAGACTTAAAAATGTTTTTATTTCAAGTAAATGTCTTAGAAGAAATCAGGATTGCAAATGAAGGAATAGACTAGGCTATTCTCAAAAGAAGGAAGCAACTTTGTTGGTAGCAGCTGGCATGATCAGCCCAAGACCAAGAGCAAAGAAGAAATGAGGGTGGTTGAAAGAATACAGTCATAAAGGAGTGGAATAGGCTGTATGTTCAGAATACAGGGGAGAACTGAGTTTGGGCTTGTAAATAGCATGGATTCAGTTTGGACTTGTGAATGGCATGATAACTACATTGATGACCTAAAGTGAAGATGGATCTTGAAGCAATACAATGTTAAGACAAGCTTTCGAGTCAGAATTAGATTGAGTCCCAGCTTCTCAGTATGTGGCTTTGGGCAAATTATTTAACCTTTCCAAGACTCACTTTCTTCATCCACCGAATAAGGATTGGTGTGAGGATGAAATATGCATGTAAGGAAAGCACTTAGCACCTAATAAGTCTTCAAAATGTGTTAGTTTTTACTATTATTTTCACAGAAAAGACTTTGCTTGTCCAGTGACCACAGGGACAGATAGAACTACCAAGGCTTGGACTGAAGGTAGAAGCAAAGGGAACTGGCAGGAAAGGAGAATTGGGTTACCTCTTTCTGGCCTTTGGTTGGAGATCTCTCCAAATGGAGATGAAGGAAGTGCCAGCTGCAAGAGCCAATGGTCCCCTCAGGATGCCTGAGAGTGCCCTCGTGTGGATCAGCTGTGGTCAGCCCTGTGGACTGCCCTGTATAAATGCACTGCCATGTATAAATAATAGACATACATATATATATATAATCTGAAAGGATAAATATCAATCTTGATTGGCAACTTCCAGAAAGAGAAGGAATGGTGGGAGGTAGATTAAGGACTTACATTTTTTTCTCCATACCTCTATATTGTTTGACAAGTTCATGTGTTGGGTAAAAGAATTAAAAAGAAAATCAATCTGATTACAAAAAGAAGATTAAAAGTTACCTGCAGAAATTGCTTGTAATCCAAGTCCTGGCTCCCTGGTACCTGGCTAACGCCACCGCCTACAAGAGACCACTGGGTTAAAGGTCCTGGAGAAAAGAGGAAGTGAAATGTTTGGTGTCCATGTTATGTGTGCCGGTTCCACAGGGCAATGCACCTGGCAGGCAGTTTCCACTGGTATGGGAACTGCTTCTCTTCCAGGCACCCACTCCAAGGCCAGAAAAGTTCAACAAGTGCATGGAACGTCAGAGACTTACTGCAAATGCTCAATTTTCTCCAAGGTTTGCTGAAGCCAGACAGTTTCTCTGGGCAGCCTCCAGGGTCAGGAGCCCAGCCGAGCCCTGGGTGCCCTCTCCGCCCTGCTCTTGTTGGCCACCAGCAGCCCTCTCTCTTCCCGAATTGTGGCCCTTCCCAAGCCTGCGTCCCAGCCCCGCCCCTCTCTCCGGACGCATCTCTGGGCCCCATCATCACCAGGCGCCGGGCCCTCCCTCCCACCCCCCCTTTCTCCTCCCTCCCCCCCCCTTTCTCCTCCCTCCTTCCTTCCCTCCCTTCCTCCCTCTCTCCCTCCCTCCCAGCTTCTGCACCAGGAAACGGCCTGGATCCCGGCAGCGGCCTGACCTGTGAGATCCCTAACCTGGCAGGCGGGAGGGGTTGGAGACAGGCTGAGGGTGGGGGTGAGGGAGGAGCTGGGCCTTTGGGCTGCACTGGGGGGAGCCGGGAGTAGAGATGGTGTCGGCAGGAAGCCCTTGGCCCTGGGTTTCCCGGGAGGACAGTCATTAAACACGGATTCGGCCACACAGCTGGTAGAGCGTTGGAGGCAGAGGCCCGGTCCTGGGAGCTGCAACCCCAGCATTTCTCAGCCCAGACCCTGATCCCTTGCCTTCTCTACCTAGCTTTGATATCCTCCTCCCCTTCCCAGGGCTCCACGCTGGCCAAGAGGATGAAAGGCCCCAGCTGGGGGCTCCTTGCCACCAGCGCTGGGTCCTAAGAGCTGCCATCCAGGCTGGGTGAGTGTGCCCTTCTTCCCTGTCCCTGGCAACCCTTTGGTTCCCCCACCTTTCCCTTCAACCCGTCTCCTCCCCCATCTTGTGCCTCTGCCATCAGTCTTCACATTTCACCTCTGGGGTGGTCCTAAGCCTCTTCTCTAGCCAAAAGGTGTACACAGTGGAGAGGGGTTTGTAGGGGTGTCATAGAACTGGTATGGTCTTATTAAGGGTAAAATATAAAGTAGTTTTAAATTAAATTTACTTGTTTACATTTAACTCAGCATATTTTGAATTTAATGGCCAACCCTCATGCCCTGGCCCCCTCACCAAGACTTAATGTCCTTGTTCTTGCTTCTTCCTGTCTAGTGGTCTCTGAACATTCCCTCCCACCTCCCTTTCCCATTGGGTTGGCCAAACCTGCAATGTCCCATTCTGGGTCTCTGACCATATATATTCACGCCAGTCTTTTATCCTTGACTATTACAGCCGCCCGGATGGCGACCCCAGCCTCGGCCCCAGACACACGGGCTCTAGTGGCAGACTTTGTAGGCTATAAGCTGAGGCAGAAGGGTTATGTTTGTGGAGCTGGCCCTGGGGAGGGCCCAGCAGCTGACCCACTGCACCAAGCCATGCGGTCAGCTGGAGATGAGTTTGAGACCCGCTTCCGTCGCACCTTCTCTGATCTGGCAGCTCAACTGCATGTGACCCCGGGCTCAGCCCAGCAACGCTTCACCCAGGTCTCTGATGAACTCTTCCAAGGGGGCCCCAACTGGGGCCGCCTTGTGGCCTTCTTTGTCTTTGGAGCTGCTCTGTGTGCTGAGAGTGTCAACAAGGAGATGGAGCCACTTGTGGGACAAGTACAGGAGTGGATGGTGGCCTACTTGGAGACGCGGCTGGCTGACTGGATCCACAGCAGTGGGGGCTGGGTAAGGAGCTTCTCAGTTGCTGCTCTGCACATCCCTCTGCGAAGCTGGTCTTCAGGAGATGGGGGGCAGGGCTCTGGCTGGAGGCTGGGGGCGGCTCTGCAGGGAATGAATGAGGCATGGGGGCTGAGACTCCCTATTTGGGTAGAATCAGATGTCCTCACTGTGGGCATCACGCTGGATGCTGCACTCCAGGGCTGCCATGCAGTCATCACTGGATGGGCTCATGGTCTAAAGCAGAGGACAGAATTCACAGCACCCATGGGAGTGCCAGCAGAGAAATGGCATCCAGCCATCAGGAATATTTTACACTTGTGTACATGTCATGGGGACAGGAATCAGGGGTGGGTAGTGGTCAGGCAAGTCTAGGCAAAGGGTACCAGTTCTGAGCAGAATTTTTGGCCAAGGAGAGGGTGGGATTCACTTGAGACAGGGAAGGCGGATGAGCCAAGCACCCGTGGGGGATGAGGGGATTGCAGCCAGTAGAGCTTTGGCAAGAGAGGGGCTGGGTGTGGGGTAGTGTTTGCAGTGGATGGAACTGGAACTCTTCCTCTCCCCTTTTCTCTACTCTTCCTTCTCCTGATATCCCTTTCTCCTTCTTTCTCTCCTACTTCCCTTCTCTCCCACAGGCGGAGTTCACAGCTCTATACGGGGACGGGGCCCTGGAGGAGGCTCGACGCCTGCGGGAGGGGAACTGGGCCTCAGTGAGGACAGTGCTGACAGGGGCCGTGGCACTGGGGGCCCTGGTAACTGTAGGAGCATTTTTTGCTAGCAAGTGAGAAAGTCCAGGGCCAAGTGGGGCTAGGTGTGGCTGGGGGACAGGAGAGCAGGAACAGAACAGAGAAATACCCTTGAAAGTGGTGGGGTGAATGGATGGGCATGGAACAGGAATGGGAAGGGGCAGGGCAGTGTGTGAGGGTGCTGAGTGTGCCAGGCAGACAGTTGGAAGAATGAACTGGAGACCTTAGGGAATGTATTTGGAAAGTTGGGGCCAGGAGATGGAGTAATTCCAGGGTTAGGGGGAGGTGGGAGGGATCATGCCTGTCGGTGTAGGCACAGGAAACTAGCTGGAGCTTGGTTTGCAGCCCTGAGGAAGGGGGACTTGCATAGGGGTTGGCATCTCCACTGGATGAGTGGGATTTGGGGAAAACACAGAAGGCACATCCCTTTGAATGGTAGCTTGGATCCTCAGGAGATAGGGAGAGGTGGCTGTGAAAGTGGGCTGCTCGGACATGCGTGTGCATGTGCACGCGTGCTAATGTGCATGCTGGGCTGCTTGTCTAATCTGGTGGTCGTGGGATTTTTTTAAGGAGAAAACATTCCCTCTTGCAGTGGCAAGAACAAGGGGCAGTTCTCTGTCTCCCTCCCAGTCCCCATTCCTTCCTCCCCTTGTCCTGGTGCCTCAAGGCTGAGGGAGAAACACTGTATCCAGATGAGGGCTTTGGGCACTTCTCTGCAGAAAGTTGTTAGCAGGGCTTTGGAGAGAAGAGAGTTCTGTAGCTGGCCTTGTTCCTTCACGGTCCCCCTTCCTTGTGCATCATGCACTTGCTGCTGCCTCCTGGGCTCTGACAGAAAGGCAGGGCTGCGGAGCCTGCAGTGGGTAGAGGCTTTGGTAGCTGGACCTGCCTGCCTCCTTCCTCTCCCACTGGGGCACACTGGTGCCTAAAGTGTTCCCTATCTCTGGGACCTTCTGTACCCAAACTTAAACTCTAAATTGGGGCTCTAATTAATTTTTCTTTTGAGTGTGGACGTACACGCTGATCTAGAATACAGTCTGGGTCCTGCACTATGTCTCAGTGAGACTGTTGATGCCTTGAGAGGAACATTCCAGCTCTGAACCCCATGGGTGTGATGGTGACGTGTACTCCGTGACTGGCCTGTTCTGTGTGGTGGGCTTTGGTGCTGCTTTACCAAGGGCCAGGTGTATGGGTTCTAGAGTACCTACCATGATCTAGAAGCATTTATATTTTCTTTGAAGCCACGCTGTTTGCATGGGTGTTACTTGTCTGTACTTCAGAGTCTGCGAATGTTAACTTTAGAGCTCACAGCCCTCTAGAACAGATTCAGATTATAGCTTTTTCTTTTGAGAAAGAAGTGATTTCACTCCAAATGCATGCCCTGAGCCAGACCTCACTGCTGCACTTTCTAAGGTGCTAAAATTGCTGCTCTCCAATGCTGACTTCTTCAGACACAGTGCTCTAGAACCCTGCCCTTGATCCTGAGCACTGATCAGCTTAGCTAGACCATGGTTGACTCTTCTTGGAGATTTTTCACTTGGTCCCAGAAGGTGGCAACATAGTTGTACTCACTAGAAAGTGGGACCAAAATTGGCCTCAGGTGTTTAGCCCAGACTTTTGTGCTTGAGAGAGGGCTGCACTTTTTAATGGTATTTATGGGGGAGGAGGTAGGCTGCATGTGCCGCTTGGTCTGTTGTGAGTATGCTGATACCAGAAACTCAGAGCTGCTCTGTGGCAGGCAGTGGGGGTGGGGTGGGGGTGGGGGGGTCTCTGACTTGCTCAGGACAAATTAGGCCAGTGGTTTTCAAACTGCTTGGCAGAGCCCCAATGTTTCCTAGGGGTTGCCTCAGGAGTCCTTGGGGGAGATGAAGGTTGGGGGGACGGGGGTGCTGAGCAGGCTGGGCTACTTGCCCTCAAACAGAACAGCTCTCCTTGTAGTTGTCTTACATATCGGGGTTCAGGGTAAGATTTTATTTGCATTAAGGGGTTTGCTGCTGAAAAAAAGTTGGAAAACCACTGACTAGACCATCAGCTCCAAATTAGAGCCTGTGCTTCCCCAGGTTTGGGGCAGACTCATCACCTGACCCTCTACTACAGGATGCCTTTCCATGTTAGCTTTTCTGGGGGGCCATTAGCAAACAGGGCAGTGGGGACCATGGTTACTGAAATGCCCTGCTCTGAGGCCTTCACACCCGGGTGGAAGGAGAGGCTGTTTTCTGAAAGTGTAAGGGGCTTGGTCTGGATTCCCAGAAGCATAGCTTGCATGGGACCACAGTGGGCTGTTTTGAACTATCCTTCCCTTCTTAGCTTGAGGGGCAATGGAAACCCCAGAGACCCTTCTGTCAGGGAAAAGCAGAGACTCTTCTAGAGCCATATAGTTCCTTGGGATTAGTTCTTGGCCAGGAAGGCTGAGTATGGCTCCCAATTTTTAAATCCATTTCATTTTTTTAAAATAAGGGAAATAAATCTAATTGCCATTTTTCAGAGATTTAATAGGTAGAGAGGGTGTCTCCTTCTCTCCAGAGCCCAAAGGGACAAATAGGGACTTGCTTAGGCCAAGGAAGGAGTAGAAGTAGAGCAACTGGGTCCTGAGATTATTAAGCCCACTCCCCACTTATTCTAGGGCATACACTATTTTACTTTTTTAAATCATAAAATGGCAGGAGAACAGATTTGGTTAGTTTAGAAGAAAAGAAAAAGCTCTATAAATATAAATATATATTCCTGTATTTTTATTTAATAATTTATAAATACCAAGTTCATTTGACTTTTATTTTTGTGTAATATGTAATGGTCGTATTAAAAATAAATAAATAAAGCCCAGAAGTTTAATGAGAAGGACTGAACAGGGTTTGTGACTTCTACACTGTATAGCTTGGGGTCAGGACATTTCTTGATCCAATCATCTATTTATGCCCTTGTTAAAGGCATGAATTAGAGTAATAGAGATTTTGGAAAGTCTTAAGATAGAAAAAGAAAATCAGAGTTGTTCCCCTATCCCCCCACCTCAGTTCTCAAAGTCAAGAACTCCATCTGTGCCAGCCCAAGCCTTAAGAGGATGTGTGATATGGTACTTTGGCATGGCCACAAAGAAAAACTAAAGAAACCCTACCAAATATCTTTGTGTGGTGGCAATCAAGTCCCCAGTTGTGGTTCAACCTCTAATTATAAGTGTGTGATAATGATATTTCTCCCCAATTATACCCTGCCGCCTACTTCAGACTTAAAGTGAGTCTGGCAAAAGTGGAGTCCCTGTTTCCTTTCCTGGTCCTCCAAGACATTCGGTTTCAGACATTTTAGCAACTGCTAAGTTGGATGGAAACTACAGGAATTATTCAGCCCATCCTTCTGTACTTCTAGTCTAGGACCACATCAAAATCATGTCTGACAGAAATAATGATCCCAATTTTAAATTACAAGCAGGAATTTTCTAGTTTTCTGTAATCCAGTGCAATAAAATGATATTTGGGTTTATGTGTTAAAATGTAGTAAGAAATTGCCCTGGCCGGTTTGGCTCAGTGGTTGGAGCGTCAGCCTGTGGACCGAGGGGTCGTGGGTTCGATTCCCAGTCAAGGGCATGTATCTGGCTTGCAGGTTTGATTCCCGGGCTCTGGTTGGGGGTCGTGTGGGAGGCAACCAATTGGTGTGTCTCTCTCACATCGATGTTTCTCTCTATCTGTCCCTCTCTCCCTTCCACTCTGTCTAAAAAGCAATGGAAAAATATCCTCATGTGAGGATTAAAAAAAAAAAAATGTAGTAAGAAATATACTACTTAGAGGAATCCCAGGGTTGCATTTCCATTCTCTGTAGAATAATCTATAGGGCAAGCCATCTTAAAATCCGAGAGTGGCTTGGTGAACATGGCACTAGGGGAAAGGGGAATTAGATGCTCTTAATAGTTAATATCATCAGGCTATGATAGCTAGTGCGTTTATCTCCACTGCGGTGTTACTGGTTTCATGACTGATAGGTTGATATTTGCCAAAAAGCATTTGCACATTTTACTAGAATACTCAAAAGACAACCATAGGAAAATACAGATTTTTAAAGTAGGGAAAATTGAAATGTTATAGTAAAATGAAAGCAAAAGGGAAGTTAATGCACAGAAGGCATTCTATGAGCAGTTTACCCAAATTCTAAAGCTAGGCTATGAATTCAGTTCTGAGCTTCTTGGCAGCTAAAGCAAATTAGAAAACTTAATGATTCACATTCCTCTTAGGATTTGTAAAAGCATATCAGTTCCCAAATGGGCAAAAAGTTGGCTCTTCTGAGAAGACACTGAGTGATACAGAGGACACCACCATCTATAATACCCGAGAGCAACTATGTTGAGTTTTGCACCACTGTTTCTTATAGAAATACCAAATGGGGATTCAGTAGGTCCTAAGCTTGTTCCATTAGACTCATCACAATTTAACTAAAAATGCTCTATGATACTACAGTTTAATATAGGGCTAAATTTTAGACTATCTAAATGGATAGATGAATTGTTTATCTTTCAGATAGATTTCCATGAATGTTATTTTTCCAAATGGTACTTTTGGTAGAAGTTAAGCAACATTTAGTTACAAATTTTAGCAAATTAATAGATTATAGATATTCTGTGTTTTTACTTAAGACCAGATCCTTTGAAAACTTTAAAAGCTGCCCTAAATGTGGATACAGGTGAAATATAAATAACAATATTTTAGAAATCAATCAGAAAACAATATAATGAAATACTATATTCAGTCATCCATGTAGCAAAACATGCAAGCATCTTCTGTGTGCTAAGCACAGTTCTAGAAATGAACAAGAGTCCCAGATTTCTGCCTTCATGTACTTACACTCTAGTAAGAGAAACAAACAATAAATAAATTTCACAATATTCACTAACATAACATTTCATGTTAGGTGACAAAATGCTATGAAGAAAAATAATTCATTATGGCAGGATTGGAAGGTGTATGGATGTACAGATTTCAGTGTTAAATAGAGTGGTCAGGGAAGGCCTCATTTCTAAGGTGACCAGAAAAGTCATTAAAAATGAAATTGGAAAAATATTTTTATTGACATGGAAAGATGTTTCTGTATCTTATTGGATACAATGAAAATAGATTAGAAAATAATATATAGAGTATGATTCCCCTCCCCAAATAAATAAATAAATAAACAAACATGTGCACACATGCCTGTATATGTATTTTTGTGTTGAAAATTTCAGGAAGGGTATATACCAAAATGTAAATAGTGATTATCTCTGGGTGGTGGGTTTTATGGATGATTTTATTTTATTCTTTTTTTTTTAAGAGATTTATTTATTTATTTATTTATTTATTTATTTATTTATTTTTGTGGTACCTGCCCCTAGCGGGAACCGAACCTGGGAGTCTCTGGTCCGCAGGCCGATGCTCAACCGCTGAGCCAAGCTGGCCAGGGATTATTTTATTCTTTTTGCTGTCAGTATTTTCTGATTTTTTAAATTAGGAACACATATTTCTGGGACAGTATATTAAAACAAGTTTTTCAGGTACAAAGTTGTTTTTTTTAACCTCACCCGAGGACATTTTTTGATATTTTGTTCAGATAGAGTGGGAGGGAGAGAGAGAGAGAAACATCAACATGAAAGGGACACATCGAGTGGCTGCCACCCACACGACCCAATCAGGGCCTGGGACAAACTGCAACCGAGGTACAGTGCCCTTAGCGGAAACTGA